TGCTGATTTAGCCACTACAAGTGCCGCTGCTAATGATGATTCGGTGATGTGCATGCTGTCGATGAAGACGAAATCAACGGCACCAATCTTCAAAAAAGTGAGTCTGCTTTTTTCGGTGTTCTTGAAACGTATGTGATCGGCGGAAACCAACCCATGGATGAAAATTAGCCGATTGACCTTTTGCAGTTTATGCAAGAGAAAAAAGATGAAATTCAAAGTCTCATAATCGATCGAGTTGCAGAAGGACCTAGAAAAGTTCAGTTCAGCGCTAATTTAGGTTTGGTAAAACCTAAAGTAATAAATGATTCTAGTAAAACTGAGCACGACGAGCGGATTGACATTTATGCAAACTCTGATATGAAACCTGTGATGAGCTTAGTATTAGAAGATGATGAGTTTTTTGAAATGGTCGAAAAAATGCAAGCAGTTTTGGAGACTTTTGCATCTTATGGAAGCGGGTGGGTTTTGCAACACGTAATTCAAGTTTTTGTTAAACTTGCAAAGTTTTCACCAATCCGTGGGTCATCCTATATTGACTTGCCTTTTCGAATTCGAATGTCCCAGAATTTGATAAACATTAGAAATCACGAAGATAATAATTGCTTTGAACTTTGCTTTACCGCTGCTTATAGTCTGAAGCATGGTGTTGACCTACTTCTAACTGATCAGCAAAAAGCGAACCCAGCAGCTGCGCGGACACAACCTGATACATACTTTGCTGAAAGTGCACACAAAGCCCAAGGTAATTTTGATTCACCCATGAGTTTCGCTTTAATTGGAAAATTTGAACAACTTAACGACGTGCGGGTAAATGTGTTCCAGTACAACAAGGGAGATTTGTCGCCTATGTATATATCAAAACGACCAAACCAAGATAACAGCACCCAAACTGAAATATTTGACATGGACCTGCTTCTCTTGTATGAGCCTGCAAAGCATCACTATGTACTTATAATCGATTTGTTAAAGTTCATCTGCGAAATCAAATGGAGTAAGTATCGCCCAATTGCACGTTTATGTAGAAACTGCTTTCACATTAGTTGGAGTGATGAAACTCACGAGCAACACATCCAGTGTTGTAAGGATCATGAATCTGCTCTAGTAGTCATGCCTTCAGCAGAAAAAGGTACCAACAGATACGAGTTCAAAAACCTCCAGGCCTTGTGGTTTGTACCACTTGCGATTTATTTTGATTTTGAATCATTTCTGAAACCTGTAGATTTTTGTCCTGATAATCCATCGCGATCATCTACCCGAGTTGTACAAAAAGACGAAGCTTGTGGGTATTCATTGGCTGTAATTGAACACGGAAATTCACAGCCCTACTTCTTTGACTATGACAGCTCTGATCAATGCATGAAAAAGTTTCTCAATCAGTTGCATCAATTAGCGAGAGAGATATATGATCAAAAGCGACGGTTTCCTCAATTTCTAGAAAGCCAAGAATCGTTGAACAAAGAAAACACATCAACATGTTGGATTTGCTGTATACATTTTACCAATGAGCACGAAAAATGTCTTGACCATTGCCATTTTTCTGGAAAATTTTTGGGATGGGCACATGAAAAATGCAACCTCGCAAGACGAACTGTAAATTTCACCCCAGTCATTGGACATAACATCCAGAACTATGACCTTCACCACATTTGTCTCGCATTGCATGAATGCGAGCCAACAAGTACAATGAGTGTTATACCTAGCACCGACGAAAAATATATATCGTTAAGCATTGGAGTCCTAATTAAAACTATAAAAAGGAAAAACGGATCTGAGCAAAAAGTTATTGAATACCTCAGATTTATTGACTCATGCAAGTTTTTGAATTCTTCCCTGCAAAAATTGGTTGATAATCTACCAGCGGCAAAAATGTCAATTTTGAACAAGTATTTTGCAAACGAGACGGAGGAGCAACGGTGTCTGATACGACAAAAAGGTTTCTACCCTCATTCGTACATGACCAAAAGAGAAAAATTTGCAGAAAACGATTTGCCTCCTTTGCAAAATTGGTCCGATGTTTTGAATGGAGGAAAAGTTGCAATTTCACAAGCGGATCTGGAACATGCAAGGAAAGTTTTTAGAACGTTCAAATGTCAAAACTTGGAGGATTATCACAACTTGTATCTCAAGTGTGATACACTCCTTCTTGCTTGCGTCTTTGAAGAATTTTGACAAATTAGTCACCAAACTTATGGTCTGGACTGCGCACACCGTTTTAGTGCTTCAAACTTAGCTGGAGACGCCTTCAAACGTATCTGCAAAGACTCGAATGTTCAGCTTTTATCAGACCGCAGGCATCTCGAAATGGTCGAGAATATGATGCGAGGTGGTACTGCATCCGTGTTCCATAGTCGCTTTTTCAAAGCCAACAACAAAGAATGCCCCGACTTCAACCCAGATCAACCTAGCACCTACGGGTTTATGATCGATGCAAATAACCTCTATGGCGGCGTCATGCAAACGGAGAAATTACCGATGCGTAACTTTGAGTTAATAGAGCATATAGAAGACGAGGTGATTGTGAACCAAATCCTCAACATGACTGAAGACTCTTTGATTGGATTTATATTGGAAGTTGATCTCGAGTACCCAAAAGAACTGCATGAGGATCATCAAGATTACCCTTTAGCTCCCACTAAAGAAAGTGTACCCCAGGATTGGTTGAGTCCCTACCAAACAAATTTACTCGAGCAGATGAAAAATCAAGACATTGCAAGACGTTCAATTGGAAAGACCAAAAAGTTACTGCAGACGCTGTATGACAAGTCAAACTATACAATTCATTACAAACTATTGCAATTGTTTGTTAGGTTGGGACTTAAAGTTAAAAAAGTGCACCGTGTGTTGAAGTTTGAACAAGAAGCATGGTTAGAATCATACATCACATTGAACACGACTAAACGACAACAAGCTAGAAATAAATTTGAGGAGGATTTGTACAAACTACTGAACAATTGTGCTTATGGGAAAACATGCGAGTCGAAGCGCAAACGGATGCTTGTTCGGATAGTTAGAGATTATCATGCCGCTTTGCGAGAAATTAGTGCATTCGAATTTAAATCCTACAAAATTTTTGGAGAAAACTTGGCAGCGTTCACTTCGAATCCAACAAAAATCTATTGGGATGTCCCAACAATTGTGGGAGCTAGTGTTCTTGAGTTAGCAAAGTTTCACATGTATAAATTTCATTACGATATAATGAAACCAAATTTTGAATGTCAACTACTGTATTCTGATACAGACAGTCTCCTGTACCAAGTCAAAAGTGAAGATTTATACCGAGAAATTTCCGAAAAAAGGAATATTTTGAATGAACTTGACTTGTCAAATTACCCGAAGAACCACCCTCTCTACGACCCGAAAAACAAAATGGTTGTTTTAAAATTCAAGGATGAGTTTCCAGGAGACATTATAACCGAGTTTATGTCCCTCAAACCCAAGCTTTATTCCATTTTGTCCAGAGGTAAATAATTTCTATTTGCCTTATTTGTGAGCACGAATTTCAAAAAATTTTGATTTTTTGTGATTTTTTTTTCGGAAGGCAATTTTTAATTGTGGGCGAAAAAATGTAATTTTATCAAAAAAAAAGAAATTTGGAAAAAACTTTTTAGGCGAAAAAGTATAATTTTTTTTTGAAAATTTTTTTTGTGGGCGGTTTTTTTTTGTGGGCGAAATTTTTTTTTTTTTTTTTTGGAAAAAAAAATTTTTTTTGTTCGAAAAAAAATTTCGGGCGAAAAAGTGTTTTTTGTTTTGAAAAAAAATTGGAAAAAACTTTTTAGGCGAAAAAAAATAATTTTTTTGAAAATTTTTGGTTTTTTTTTGTGGGCGATTTTTTTTTTTGTGGGCGATTTTTTTTTGTGGGCGAAAATTTTTTTGAAAAAAATTTTTTTTGTCGGCAAAAAATTTTTTTTAAAATTTTTTTGGAGATTTTTTTTTTTTGTGTTGTTCGATTGTTTTTTTTTTAATGATGACTAAGTTTTAAGGTCACACCTGGCCTTCATGTATTTTTTTTTGTTGCAACTGGCTTTCAAGTTAACATAATGTAGCTCTTAAAAAAAACATCGCATTTGTTTTTTTTACCACCACACATTAGTGATCATCAAAAATTGATTAGTAATCATATAAATAAATTTTTAGACTGCAGAAAATTATCGGCGAAAGGTGCATCCGAAGCTGCTCAGAAGATGTTGAGTCATCAGCGATATCGAGACACCTTGACCTCTGGCTCGTTATTCAAAACTGAAAACAGTCGAATCGCATCCGAGTCACACAATCTGCAAACAGTGACTTCGACGAAAACATCGTTATCAGCTTTTGATGACAAACGCTACATCCTCGATGATGGTCAGCGGACTCTTCCCTACGGTCACAAAAACATCGTGGGTCAAACTGTGATTGACATTGATGATAGTGATGACAACACAGCCGCTGTTAATTCTGACCCAACTGACAATGACGATTTGGAAAAATGGATGCCATTTTTTGAAGATCGTCAACAGCCAGTGTCGTGGGATTGTGACGATTTCCTAGATGGGGTGTCTGAAGAATTCGTTAACACTCAAAACGTTGATTGGGACCATCCGGAAATTGATGATGAATACTCTGAGGATAGTTTTGCTGTTGAGAACACACAACCACATCGCTCGCTTCGACAACTGATGGACCAGGTCAATAGCAGTTGGCAAACTCCAGACCCCGGTCTGATTCGGGCAGCAGAAACCAACGACAGTGATATTGATAGCGGGGATATCGCGGATCTGGAGGCCAATACTTCCGATGAGGACGAGTCGTCATTCTTCAACGATTCGTTTTTCGATTATGAAGCAGTTGAAGTAGAAGAACCACGGTCAAAAAATCGACGAATAGATTAAAACACAAAAAAACACCACATTAACTTTTGTGTAGTAAATAAAATTCAGTTATTTAATATGAGAATTGTCTGTACATAAAATTTGACCTAGCGCTATTCCGTGTTTAGTGTGTATTTAAGTGCGAGATTTTGTTCAGCTTTGGAACTCAATTAATCTGGGATATAAACAATTTCATTTAAGCGATGGTGTCTTTAGCATACTTTTGTATGTATTTGTATGTAATTTGAGTTTGAATCAAAGTTTTAAGAAGAATTGAGCAAACAGTC